TAGACAGCGCGTCTTTCAGTTAAACGACTGCAGTAGCTAGGACAATTTAAACAAGATAGATGATTATGGGTGGATAATACCATGGCGAATGGGTGTCCGAAGTTACGACAACACGTATGATGTTGCTGAAGCGGATAACGTGCGCTTCTGCGGTGCGGAGCTGAAGAAGCACGATAAGAGAAAGAGCCCTCGAGAATTTCGCAGTGCTTAGCCATTACTGCATGCATGAGGACGATAGCGATAGAGATGATGAAGCACGTCGCTTGCCTAGCTGGATGGATATCTTATCTCAATAGTTGCATCCAGAGAGCTGAGGCGTGCTGAGAAATTTGCAGACAAGTGTAATAGAGAGAGGCCGATTGCGTCACGAGTGACCGTGAATGTTCTAAAGGCCTGTTTGCTGCCGCGTTGGGAACGGTCTGTGATTAAACTTTAGCCGTGTATCAAGATTTATTAATTAACACTAGACTCTCTCAAACTACGTAATGCGAGTGTATAATATGAGTGAGAGTAGGACTGAAAAGTAAAACGAACGCAGTACATTTTCCACGTGTATAAACATACAGCTTACAACAGGCAAGCAGAGAAATTAGCGCAAAACACAAACGGATGCAAAAGGGATGGTTTCGGTTACCTTCATTGCTTGACTCGAGAATTTGCGTTACGGCGACTCCAATGAACTTGCAGGTTCACTGCGAACGCTTGTAATAACGACCTGTAGCGAGAAGGCCATACAAGCCTCTTAACAACATTTTTGGTGATTTTACGTGCCCAAACAATATGATGAGGCATGAAGATCTGGTCCAGGAGGACTCCGAATAAAATGTCCCAATCTGGGCATAGTGGTCAATGAGAATCGTCGAACCAAAACTTATCACTGTACATACATAATTTGGTGGCGTTTGTCATGACGTCATGGTACGAGTCATTTATAGCGTTTCATGCCACGTTAAGGAGAACATTTATTAACCGTGTTACATAATATGAGAGTCGTACAGAGCGTGCACACAGTGATAATTAGCCGTTTTTATCTGCACTGCAACTGAGCTCTTCCAGCCAGCTCGCAGTGCCATCGAGTGCGCCGCCATAGCCGTGTTCTGTCAGTGACCCAGCATATGACAGCGTTATCTTTGGCCGCACTGCACCTCACCAACCCGCTTTCTTGGAAAAGATATAAACGTAACACGACGATGATTTTTGTGCGCGAGACCACTAGAGAGGCGACTGTCAAGCTAGCGCCCCGTGTAGATGACGTCACGTGAATACCTTCAATACAATTGTCCCCCTCTTTCGCCCGCTGCACGCCACCTGCATATCGTCCAAAACGCCATTCACCGAATAGACGGAAACGAGCTTGTACCTTGTGCACATACTGCACATCCTTTTTCTCACTACTCAGAAAAGTCTGGAAACGTCTATGTAGGATATTTCACGTGTAACAGTAAGCGCGTTCACCGGAAGAGCGGGCCTGAAAGCGAAAGCACGGATGCAGGTATGGGCAAGGGAACAGATAGAAAAGCGTATCCAACGAGAAGTGAAATTGTGGCGAGCATTTTATAACTATATATGCTACTACATAGGCGTACACGAGCAAAGGAGAGGAGCGGCTTCGTTTTTCTTTTTTCTTTTTTTTTTTGACGATACGATAAATCTGTTTACTTGGATCTTTTACCCTGGGAGTAAGGGTGGAAACAAAGGGAAAAAATAGGGCGGGTGGCCAGAAAGCCTGAAACCAATCGCAAGCCTTTGCGAGAAGCTATAGTCACCGCATCCTCCTCAGCTTCGTATCAATTGTGGAGCTTCTTTACTTCAGGGAAAAGGAGGGGGGGGGGGGTAGGAGGGCGTCAAGTCTGAACCACCCCCCTCTGCCACTCAATGAAGAGCCCTGCACACGTCTACGTTCTACTACAACTCTGCGTTTCTTTCTTCACGGCTCCGGCGAGCCTATGGACTCGCTTTTCGGTCACGGAAAAGGAAACAGACACCTTGTTGACGTACAGACGATCCTGGAAGCAAGCACGACGGATGCAGCGGCGAAGGCGAACAGGAAGTTGCCACAGCGACCGACACGACCGACGCGGTTCGCTCAAGGTCACCGGTCGGAGGAGCCAGTTTGTTTGTAAACTCTACGCATGCGCGCCCACGTGTCGCCTTGGCACGCCGCTCGGCCCTCTGTTTACGCGCATCATATTGAGTAACGAATCTCGACAAATGTCACGCTGTTACGAAAAGGCAGTCTCTCAGGGTCGCATATGTCGTCGACCGACGAACTTGACGGGCTTGCTGTCACTTGTATTGAAAAAGGAAAGTTCGGACTACAAAAGCGCGGTTTCGGTTCTTGCGACTTTTTCTTTTGTATGTGCAACGTATGAGCAGGTTAGTAAGAATACTTGTAACATAGTACATATATAAATAGGCAACGACACCCCTCTTAATTGTTCCCCCCCCCCCCCCGCCCCAATCACCGTACTTACAGAACACGATTTTTCTTAAAATTCCAACATGCTCATTTCAATAATACAAGCTGTAATATTTTACGCCAGTCGAGTTTTATGCTCTTTTTTTTTATTTTTGCTAGCCCGCAATGCGACGGCAGGACAGCTAGCACAGCGTAGGTGTGTGCATCGATTTTTTTAAAACATATTTTCCAGATCTCAAGCATCAGCGAATCGTACAGATCCGACATTATCACGAAAACAAGAGCTTTGATTTTCCCCTACTTATGCATCCATTCTTTACCCGAGCTGTCGGAGTCATAACATCAGTAGGATGCTACGTCACCCCGTGGCTGGGCCAATCCAGTCAAGCCTTTGATAACAGGCTTCATTCTCCTCACTTTTGACCCAGCCGAGCCTCTCGAGCTTATCGTTCTGAGATTACCTGTGCCGAGGTTGATACTTTTTTCCAACCTTGTTTTTCTCGGCAGAGACACGCCTCTCACTTTGCGTATATGTCAAGCGCGACACTCAACGAAAGAGAGCTTGAACGGTTATGCGCTAGAGATAAGCTAGATTGATATGTGGGGTTTAACGTCCCAAAACCACCAAGAGATAAGCTAGAATACTTGAACTTGCTCAGATCGCGAAGTCGGCAAAGGCGAAGCAGTGCGAGTCGCTTTCTCGTTAGAGCACGGAGAGGCAGGGCGGAAAGTGCCGGTCAGCCGGTTTGCTCGACGGAAAAACTGACCGGTGGAAACCGGATGGCTGCCTGCTGCTGCGGCTGCTTCCACAGTGCTACACGAGCCTTCTGTATAACACAGGTGCAACGGCAATAAAGCGCTCGCACTCCGGCTGGATAGAGGGCGCAACGGAATGGAAGCGAGTCAGATATGATGGACACAGGGAGGACATTTCACTGTAAACAAACACTAGCTGAGCAGATGTTCTGTCTGTCTAATGATGGCGCGCCCACATGACGTTTCATACTGATTGGAGCGGCGACGCATCGTAGCTCCCCTAAACACACATATCACGTCAGCAGCGCTTTCGTCTTAAGCATCTGTTTTTTTTTTTTAAAGCACTGAATAACTACTACCGTAATATCTTTCCCACGTAAGTTGAGGTGATCGTAAGCATATTGGTAGAACTGGGAATAGTATCGAGCTGTCGAAAGCATCCACTCAGAAGTAAAGTATGAACTTTTCACAATAGCTGTAACCAGTATCTATATTTATCCCTGACATCAAACGAACTTGTAAGATTAGTTTTTATTTTTATTTTGTCCGCAACATTTCTGCGTTTATTGCAAAATGTAAGCGTGCTACCATGCCGAATTGACAATGCGAGAAAGACGAACCAATTTTAAAAACTATAATTGACATTGAAAGCACAATGAACAAACGCGCGTGACTATACTTAATATATTTGAGTTCATTTCATGTTGCATTACATAGAATACTATAGCATAAAGCAGCTGCTCTCTCTCTCTCTCTCTCTCTCACACACACACACACACACACACACACACACACACACACACACACACACACACACACACACACACACACACACACACACACACACACACACACACACACACACACACACACACACACACACACACACACACACAGACAGACAGAGGCAAGTAATGAAAAACTATATAAATTGGCATAAATGTTGTTTAGAAGAATGGCAACACTTATAAAAATAACATGAAACAAGCTGAAGCATTAAAGTCGTTTGCAGAGTGTACGATGATGCGTAAATGTTAAAAACTAACGCTAGTTTACAAACAATGCATGAGATCGGTGTTCAAATAACAGCAGCAATGGACCGCTTAATTCGTCGCATGAGTGTACTCCAACATGCTCACGGGAACAATATCGACCACCCAGCAAAAGTAGCTCGTTTATTCTTTGAAGTGATGCAAGGAAAAAAACCACAAGGAAAAGGAAAGAGCAGGGGCAATTTCTGCAAAGGAAACGCATTGGATGACGCTCGCGAAATCCTGATACGGCGAGTGTTTCCCTTCCAGCCGCACTCGCGCTGTAGAACGATTACGCTACGAGTTGCATCAGACTGCTGCAGCTAGCGGCCTCCGTTTGATCGTCCCTGTGTGGTGCCCTACATACGATCGACGACAGCGGAACCAGAATACCAGCTATCATGGAGCGTAACCTGAGAATCAGAGCAACGCCGCGTCCATGCGCTGCGAACGCTGTGTGTACAAACATAATTGAAGGTGCTACGATGCCGCAACATTTACTGCGTTGTCCCAACAGAAAAACAAGAAGACACAACCTGTATGAGCATTCTGAGCGAGAAGTGCCTTATGGGCAATGTGTTACCTCACTACAACAAGCAGGCACATGCAAACTTTCCGTACTTGATGCCCAGCTTGCTCTATGGAACGAGATACGAAACCCTGAAACTAATTAGCGTGCCAACATGGAGCGCCGCTGCTCAGCGAAGCTTGATCACCTGGATCAGCTGCTCAAAGTTGCTGGAAATTCCCCCATCAGAAGCCTACATCGCCTTAAATAGCGGGCTAATACTCACCGAAATCGATGAACTGCTTGATGGAAAGCGGCGACGGGTGGAAGCGCGAGTATTTGTCCAACATCTTCCCGATGTCCTTAAGTAGGCGAGCTGTGATTCTCATGTTGGCCTACGGATGGAAGCTGTCGTCAAAGAGCACCACGACAAATTTCTTGCATTCGGGGCAGCGCAGGTCGGGCAGCCGAGATGCGGGCAGCTAAAGTAATCGCACACTGGAGTCGGGAGAGCCTCGCTAGTGCATTTTGAAGCTCGATGTAGCTTGGCCGCGACGGGGAAGATTACCGGGCGAATGTAAGGCGTCACGTGTGGTATCGACGTCACCGCAAAGCTGTCATACGCGCGTAACCAAACAGGAGGTGTGTCTACACTTGCTGCTGGCGATTGGCCCGTCGCGGCAGCTGACGGAAGGGGCTCGACTTTCCACGATTGATCAGCGAACCAGCCAGGTCCAACATGGCGTCCACCATCAATTCTTGTGTTTATCAAACACACTGGTTACGATTCAAACAAGAAAACGTAACAATATAACTTTTTAGTTGAACAAGTGAGGTCAAATGGCATCAAAATAAGTGATAGTTTTACAAAGTTATGAAAACGTTTGACGTAAAGCTTATAGTAGTTCTTCAGAGATGGCAGCACAAACTTAAGCATGATGGTACAAAAGTGGCGCTGCGATCGCGTCGCGGACCGTAGCAGACAGCGCTCTGCTACGCTGCTCGACCAAGCGATTTCGCATCATCTTTATCAGGGGTAGTGCAGTATCTATTTTGCTTTGGGGATTGGGGGCGTGGTGGGGAGGGGGATACTGTTTGCACGTATCCCATACTTGTGTCCTCACTGATCATGTTTATGTAATTGAAACCGCATTTCAATAATCTGTCACATGCCCATCTTCACAAAGAGTCGCAGTGAATGAGGTAAGCGAAAAGAGGACAACAAAATTCTGGCGGTTTTTCGCGCCACAACCACAGTTTTTATCTACGGGAGCACACCGTACTAGTTTCGACCACTTGATGTTTTTTAACGTGCAAATTACAAACTCCAGTGACAGTTCGTCACATACGTAGTTCTGAGACGAACTGTAGTATGTGACACACAAGCTATGCATGAATATCTGAGAAATAAGTATGATTAACAAAATACATAATTATTCCTCTAGCTGCCGAAAAGAAACCTTAACACAACAAAACAATGATTTATTTTGCGTCAGCAAAGCCACGGTTTTCCTATACTATGGTCCCTGTAGGGGCCATACCTATACTGCGTATGATTTAAATAGTTTCTTTCGGTTTAAACCCATCGAATGGGTATAACCCGTACTGTTGCATTGGTGGGGCTGATGTGTCGGACTAACTATGGCATACAATCAATTGATAACCAAATTTTTTACTGTGCAACAAGATTCCTAAAGTAATTGAATACGCTAGGGAGATGAAAAACATTACAGAATTTAAGAAGCGAATTACGAATGTTTTAATCCAAACCCACTTATACTGTATGAAATATATTTCTTGTAATCATTGTTTTTATCATTGTTTTTCATATTACGCACAAATTGTATGTATTTAAATATATGTTAATACTGCTGATAACGCCTTTTGTATTTATCCCTAAGGAACATCTTTGTTTGAATATTTAACCGATATTTTTCAGCTTGTTATAGTGTTCCTCGTTTACTTATAATTTGTATGTATAATCTTGAACATTTCTATGTACTATTTTGCTGTACCTGCCCGAGGTGCCGGACGAAGAGTGGGCCAAGTCAGGAAACACTCTCTCCTTTTGCTCCCTTCATGGTCATTTTGTTAAAATAATCGAATAAATAAATGAATAAAAATTGTTAATGGGTTTGTTTTTGTTTCAAGTTACTAGATCTTAACCACTGATACATTAAACGAAGAAAAAAAGAAGAAGAAAGCAAGAAAGTCTGCAAATTTTAATGTGGCGCTTCAAGTGCCCCCATTTGGTTCTGGAATCTTTTTAGTGCACTCGTATGCGTGCGCCGGACCCTCTATTGGGGGGAGGGGGGGGGTGCGAGTTTACAGAAGCACACTCTTTTTCTCCCAAATTGGTCGAGTAAGAAAAAATAAAACAAATACTCGTCGCAATTGATGTGAAAATAGAAATAAAGTGTAGTGACGTGTTTCTCTCAACGGGCCAGCCCTAATTGATCGAATAACCGACTTTCCGAGGACAGGAAGTAAACGGGCAGTTCTTGGGATGCAACCCATCAGCGGTATTCGGCCGACCTTATATATTAGCAGAAACTTGCGTGGTAACACCCTTGCACATCATGGGCGTAGCCAAGGTAGGATTAGAGAGGTTCGAACAACCCGAAAATTGTCAATATGTATATAAACGTATACTCATACTAACGCGCGCACGAACACACGTAGTTCAACACCTCTTGCCCACGCCCAACAAAAAGATTTCTGGCTACGCCCCTGTTGCACTTCATCCATAGAGAAAGCAAAAGTTTTTTTATTACTCTGTGCTTAATCTGTGCTGAGACAGGTGCGAATGAGTAGAGGTGAGATCACAGCAGACACGAACTGTATTTTTCACTGTAGTGTAGTAATAATGACGTGGACTGAAATGGTTAACGGTTACGCGAAATCGAAAGCGTTATGAATATATGGTTGTTCTCATTCGCTCCCTTCGTTTTTTTTTTCTTGCTGGTTTCCTCTTCCTTTTGATATGAAACGACTCGCCAAGCAAACTAAGTTATTGAAAAATCACTGTTTCTGTCGGCAGCGTCTGAACGCACAACTTTCGGACGTTTGTTTATGGAGATGTACCAGTATACTACACGTTAACGTGTAGCACAATGGTTACTTTGGTGACCATTGGAATTCCAACGGTTACCAGAAGGTAGATTTTATGGCGTTGAGTTTGGCGGAAGAGAAAAGATGAAGAAGTATTAAATAGAGAAATGCTGAAATAATCAACCAATTAATTAGTGAACTAAAGGAAAATCATAAAGAGCACTTAGAATAGCACTACGTTGATATAATTTCACATAAAAAAATTGGAACCAACGCTGGCTATAATGGCTGTATCTATCATCATAATTATCATCATCGTCAGCCTGACTATGCCCACGCTCTTAAAAAAAGGTTACTAAAAAGGTAGCAACTTCAAGCGGAGTCGGTAGTAACTGCAGCGGTCACTACCTCTCTTAGACCGTTACTTTCCCTTTGCGGCCCTTTTACTACCTACGTTAGTAAACAGTTAGTAACTGGAATGAAAGAGGTAGTAATTACCTGCAGCCGTTACTACCTTTATTGCCCTGTTACTACCTTTTTGCTACCTGGCTGTTCATTATTTATTGCAAAATAGTTAGTGATTCTGATCATTCATGAGAGGAATCGTCTCGACGTATTGTCATTAAGCGGAAACATGACGCAGAAGATATTCATTGATAAAAAAAAAACACATTTCGCTTTAAATTACGCAACTGAGATATGTAAACGTCGTTCTGCTATTGTCGAAACGGAGAAGTACAAGTTAACGAACTATAAGCAAGTGCTACACTCGTTGTAATAGACAATCACAACAAACTTTGTAAATTACAGCACATATTAAAAAGACCGGTGAATCAAAATAACCAGATAGTCACAACTAGCTCCGAGGACGGTTACAATTAATTTACTGCTGCGTGTCTCCAAACATTATCATTGTTCTGGCGCGTAAAACCTCAAAAACGAATATTAACTTTTAAACGATGATATGTTTGCCGTGTGAAGCATACAAATACACTGAGAATGAGTTCATAACCTTGTTTCGGCCGCTGTAAATGATGCCTTTTTGTGACCATTTTATAAGAAATAAATAAATATGACATATAGTTTTTTATAAGTAAGCCCGATTAAAAGTCTTGTAGTCCCCAAACACACGTAATCAAGTAGTGTAATGTAGTGCTATAGGTTCAAACTTGCTATAATTAATCCTAAAACACAAGTATACTCCCTGTGCCAAGCATGCCCCTGCAAAGTATACCCCACGCTTACTTTAAAATACATGTATTGAGGCGCGTGTGAGGTGAAAATATTGGCATATGCTGATGATGTTGCAATATTTTGTACCAATCGGGAGAGCATACCCACCTCCATGAGCACTGTACGAAGGCTTTGCGAGGCTACTAGTTAGTAGCATTTTAAACATAGACTAGTGTGTTGGACTGTGGCTTAGAAATTAGGAAGCGTTCCCAGCCGTATATGAATGGATCAAATGGTCAAGCAAGCCTAACACATACCTCGGTGTTCCGCTTGACCAGTGTAAGGACAACGATGATGGGCCGAGAAAACCAAAGGGCTATCTGTTCTGACACGGAAATGGGGAGACCGTGATCTGTCCGTCTTCGCTCGCGCGACAATATGCAACGTCTTCTTAGTATCGTGGCTGGTTTACTTGCTGCAAGTATTGTCGTGTTCCAGGATCAATATTCAGAGGATTTATAGGCTTCTTGCTGTTTTCGTGTGGGAACGGACAAACGAAAACAGCACACGAATGGACAATCGGCAACAACCTCTTCTTAAGGCTTATAGGAGGTGGTTTAGCCTTGCCACACTTGTTTTTGGAGGCAGGTTGTATCAAGGTTTCTCTTTCTACGAGATCAACAAGATCCGTTTTTACGTACATTCCTTCAAATCAGGCTATAGCATCGGCATTGCCGAACTTTATTGTTACCTCGAATGATGAATTCCACCATGGTGTCTGTATAGCTTCCTTCGAGAAGTTGTTGCGGCTTTTCGATTTCTTAGTGCTAGATTTAGTTTGGAGTACTTATCTAATGTCACTCGGAAGCGTTTGTCGAGAGATTTTATTGAAACTGTTTTTCCTGTTCCTGTGTATCGTTCTATGTAATGTAGAAGCCAAGGAGAAGACGTTTTGAAAATAGTTAAAGAGATGATCGTACCAGCTGGAGTTATAGCGTTATTTTATAAGCTGCACACGAATACGCTGCCAGTTAAAACGTGGCTAGAACAAAGAGGCGATTTTTTACCGTGGGGATCCGAATGCTTATTGTGCCGAAAGCCTGAGTCAGTAGAGCATGTTTTTATCGATTGCTGGGACGCATTTTTGTTTTGGGATGTTCTACAGAGAACACTTAAGAAAGATTTACCTCTTACTTCACATGGGATTCGATTTTTAGCAATAGAACCTGGCCTACTAAAATACGATATGATCTTTTTCTTTGGCTTACACAGCATATGGCTAAGCCGCATGGCAGTCAGACATTGTGATTTAGACGTGGCGCGGCCAGTATACGTATTTATTTTATTAAACATATGTGCAAGTTGCGAGAAGTTTTTGCAAAACATTGCTACAATGATGAACTGCTAAATGTTATGGATGAATTATGTCATTTGA